ATTTATGCACTTTAATAATGATTAAGTAGTGATCTAAATAGGTACCAATATTAAACACTAGGTAATAAAAAATAGCGATAGTAGTAGTGGAGAGAACATAATCGCATTTTAGTGCTATAGAATAAGAAATCGTACAAAAAAAAATGCCGACGGTAGTGAGAAAATTCTGGCAATCAATGGAAACAAAAGTCATTTAACATTGGGACGCAAGAACAAGCATACGCGATGATCTTCAAATGTCGACGTCTACAACTGTACTGACCTTTTATCGTTATTGATATATAATAGATAAATATAATTAGCTTTTATGATACACTTTACGGAGCCTTTAACACGTGCAAGCAATACTGAATGAAACGAAAATAGAACGAAATTTCAGAAAACCCTTAAAATGATATCAACTTTTTGCTCATCCTTACACTTTGTAACAACGCGTTCTAAGACAAAATATTCGGGAAGATTTGTAGACGAAATAACACCTATAATATCACGCACTTTGATGTTTTTTCCTTGTAGAATTGCGACCAATCGTTGTTTCGTCACAATGTCGATGATTTCGAATTTTCCAAGTTTTTTGCATATAGCAAGATATTGATGGTTGGTTTATAGATTGGTGAAAGACTTGAAGATCGTTAAATGGATTAGAAATTGGTGAATGGCTTCAGATTTGGTTGTTGTTAGATTCCGGATACATAATTCAAATTTCCGCCTGGTCATAATGGTAGAGTAGTATGATCCGTAAATGTAGAAAATGTCGCTCTAATGAGCGATCTATTTCCATTAAAAGTTAGTTTTATAATTGTATCTTCAGGAACTAGCAAGACTTGCGATTCTCTTGATAAAATATGAGTTTTTAAATGGATTCTTCATCATCAAGAAGTGCCTTCCACACTTATATGGATCCAATTGGAAGAACTATTGAAACTTCAATAAATTCTGATGATTCCAGTCCGAAAGATTCTTATTCACCAGTATAATTTTGTTATGTTTTAGCATCACTATTAGCAAGAATGATTCCATGGTTGATCGTAAAGTGACCAAATAAGTCCGGATCTATGAATTATTTTAGGGTTAATTAATTTCGTGGCTGGCCGTAATAAGTCCAAGAATGTTTGTATAGTGGTTGATTTACATTGTAAATGTGTACAAGTGTTGAGATGCACGGAGTACTCTTATAATACTGAGAAATCCATTGCGCCAAATCGATTATATAGTAACTTCATGCGACCGACATCTCCCTTCTGTATGCACATTGAAGGCGGAGTTCAAATTTCGAAAAAATGCCCTTGTCTGATTGGTCATAGCCAAGTCCCTCCTCTGAGCTTTTTGAAAGAATTGGTCTAGGATAGACCTGCTGGATATTTGAACAATGACCCAGCGGGACCATCTGCCTAAATTATTTGAAACCATATTCCAGGTAGGAAGGTATAGAGCATGACAAAGGTTTTTGTTCGAAGAATGCTATTTTTTCTTATGAGAAATTCCGGGATGGTACAGGAGAAAAGGAGATTTGCGAACCATTCATCTGTCTTTGACGTCTTTTATATACAGAGTACGATTTGAGCTACATAGTCGTACGATTTCCATATTTATGCTGGACTCAGTTTCTCATCGTGGTCAAATACAATGGGAAAAATTTTCAGAATGTCTACTTGAACATTTTTCACTATACGTCATTTAGTTAAGACGCATAATTTTTTCTGTTCCCATTGCACATCCGTTTGACAGATACATTCTTTTCTGCCATGTGTTTGAAATTTTTTCTAAGCAAATGTAGAACAGCTGTTGATCGTTTCAGTCAGTTAACTTTCCTTCTCTGTGAAGAACATTCTCATCAATTATGCATGATTCTTATATTTTGGCATTTTCGTTTAAACAAAAGAAAACTTAGATGTGACGGCATGTGTTTGCAATCGACAATCGTTTGAAAGAAATAGAGGGACAGATGGAAACCATTCATTAGTCTTCTCCTGGAGACGTTTTGGACACATGTAAAGATTAATTCCGTTCAAGTAAGGGAAGAACAATCGTATGACCTCTAAAAAAGAAATTGGCGATATAAGAGAAAAAGGAAATATAATATATTCTAATGAAATATAGTGAGAAGGATAATAGAAAGTGATCTTCGCGTGTAAGAAAATTTTGCTTTGTAGGTAATATTTTATATTTTCATTGAATTTCTAGATAAGATAAATAGTGATTTTATTATTGCTATACAGAAAGGACGAGTATAAGAGAAATGGGTTGTACTGATTTGTGATTCTCAACGGAGTTTAATGGAAAATTCAAATTCGAATAGTACTTATAAATGTCGAACAATAAAATTCGTAAAATATTTACTATAACTTTTAATATGATTTATTAATTATTACAATACATTGTACAATCATGCAATACGTTCTTTGAAACATGAATTAGCAACCTATGTAGCATATTTCGCTATAGTGTAACATTTTTTTAATACGTTGTAACATGAGGTAATAAATGATAGAATATATTGCAAATATATTGTTTACAAACGAAAGGAAAATACACTTTTGATGGAAGTTCTGCCCCTTTCGTTGACCATCTGTTCCTCTTCTTTCTTTACTTACTCATCATCTTCCTCCTATTGCTTTATGCCAGAGTGAAGAAAGTGATAACTTTCTAAGAGATTTCAAGAAAGTTCTCGTAGAATAATCTTACGAATTCACAAGAATATCACGAAAACAATAGTATACTTGAAGTAAGATACACACTATATAACATAATAACAGATATATACTTAAAATAATATATCTTGTAGAAATTTATTCCGCAAGATTATTAAAAGTTTTATATCATGAACATATAATTCGCAAAAAAATTACGAGCAAATATATTGGCTGCACGACAGAAATGGTATAGAAATGCAAATATAGATGTGAATGAATATATGAACATATATTTATGCAGAATAATTTTTTTTATGTGCATGTGTCTTTTATCTATATTATAGTGGATAAAAAATATAGAATACTTATATGTATATATATTAGAAACTAATGAGAAATGTCATATTTGAACGATAAGATTAAATGTCTACTGAATTTAAATAAAATATTTTCTTTAACATTTCTTAACTGTTGCTCATTAATTTTCTTCCATTTTTTTCTTCTTCTTTTTTTCTTCTCCGTATCTCTTTTCTCTTTCGATTACGTGTCCTTAATTTATCTGATTACGTGTCCTGTAATTATCTGATAAACTATTGCCTTAGATTTAGAATAATATTTACATAGATGCAGCTTAGTGGATTCTTCAAAATATTTCTATCTGAAATAAATACATTTATTAACGAATATAGATTAAACATTTTCGATAATTCTTACAATTGTACGTCGGTTAGAATGTAAATATTGCTCGTAAATATTTGAATGTATACAAATGTACAATAATTGTTATTTATTAATATATATATATATATATATATATATATATATATATATATATATATATAAATACTTACATACAGTTTGCGTACGTCAGAAATTTAGAATTTTTGAAAAATCTATACGAATCACATCACATAATTTTTGCTGATTACATAACTAATATTTCAACTGAGCTGTAGCTCCATGGATACTTTCTTGTTTATAGATTTTCTTCCATCGTTGGCAATTTCATAATTTATTTATCGAATGTTTTTGTTATTGTACTTCTAGGGTCGTTCGTGTATATAGGGTAACCATGTATATTTACTACAATGAAAAATACACGATAAAAAAACGTAAGAAAACAGTCTGAAGATGGAATCGTTATTACGAACACAACTATATATTTCTTTAAACTTAAAACATTTATGTATTATAAAATGAATATTAATATTTAAATTATACTAATGTCGTTTACCAAAATGAGTTATTTAATACATATGAAAGTTGATATTACTTTTCATTGTAATTTATTTTTATCTAAACCATCACCAGTATCAAAATTAACGAAGTCAAACAATCTAATTTCGATAACCAAAAGAACGTAATTTAATTTCTGTCAAATTATCAGGAAGATAGAAATGGACTAATTTATTAAATAAAACCAGTCGTTTAAGAAATAAATCATTTCTCCTTTGTACTGTTACATTTACGATACAGAACGTTTATTTATCGTAATTATTCAGAAAGGTAACTTCTTGAAGATGTTGTGTGAGAAAATATTGAAATACATTGAATATATCGTTATTTTGATGAATTATTAATTGATTAAAGTTTATAAATTATCTTCAACAAATTCAACACAAAAACATTTTTAAAATTTCCACGAAAAATTTCATAGAATTATACGTAACTTTTCAGTAAATGGTGTCTACTATACAGATTCTTTGATCAATTCTTTGTTATATCCTGTTAAAGATGAAGATATTAACGATAAATATTAGGTTAATTATATGTATAGTTGCAACCATGACGTATAGCAAATACGAATTTATGGCCGTCTTTTCTATGACATTCATGAAGAATTTTTTGGTCGTAGATGAAAATATAATATATGTTCAAACAAATCTCAACAGATATTTAAAAGGATGTTTCTGTTACAATGGTTCTCGATAAACTGACTCGTTCTGTTTCAATTCATCGGCCGATCGCTAATCTTTGTTATCATTCAGGACCCTATAAACGATGCCGATCTCGAACGTGCAAAAGAAGATCTTAGACGACGGCGAAATCTTTCCAATATATGTACATATGTTTATAAGAATACATACACGTCTATACACAAATACATTTAAACGTACATACATGCATATATTTTGTAAAATTTCTAATTACATAATTTTTATTAGATCCGCTGACGTATACCAGTGATATGTGTACATATGAATATGTGTGAACATAAATAATATGTATACGTATAGTATATATAGATTTATGTCATATATATAATCTATAGTAAATATATCTATAGTAAATATACATATATATATACGTATATTTCGAATGTATATACATACAAAGTAATATACATACATATATTACTACACTCAAATATGTATATATACAAATATGCATATACTTACATACGCAGATTATACACATATATTCACACATAAATGAACATCTTCTATTGCTGTTTAAAAGGTATTTATGAGAAGTATGATTTCAAAATCTGGATATCTCAATTAGTATAATTAGAGGATTGAAAATATCTTGAAAGTGAAAGACCCAGTTTCGAATCTTAGTTTTAGATATCCGAAGAAACCAAATATTCTCATGAATTTTTACACTATATAGATATAGATAAAGATAAAAAGAACGCTATCGTCGATATACTTTGGATATCTTTGTCATATTATATCTTGTATATATCATTTCATACATATCGTTTTGTTTATATATATCATTCTTGATGTTTAGTGATATAAGTGTGCCAAACTTTTATCGAACTGTCGAACTCGTTCTTGTAATTAATGATATAAATGTTTGACCAAAAGATAACTTGTATACATTTTTTATCAACAAGTTCAGATATTCCTCCACATTTTGGGTAATGACAAGAAAAGAAATGCGCTGCGCACTGGGGCTATATGCCAAACAGGACTTACATCGGCACTTCTCAAGTTGTTAAGAAAACTTTACACAGCAAAACACGGATATGGTAATGGTTAGGAGGAAAGGAATATTTGCGAAAAGAGTTCTACATCTAAACCCTTCGTACTGATACCGGCATACTATTGCGTGTTGACAAATCATCCGGTGATATTTGTAATATATGTGATATATGTAGTACCCTAGATTGCTAAATATCTTAATGATTGCTTTTATTTTTAGTGCTTGTAAAAATTAGTGGGAAAACTTTGTCCTGAGATATCTTGGATAGTTCAGTAGGACAGAGCATTTGTTCGGGAAATAAAAAGATATTTGTGTTCGAATTCTGCTGTAATACATATGCATATATATCTATCCAGAACCTTAATTTTTTTGTAAGTTCTTTAGACACGGATGGTAGTATTCACATATTTTGCAATAATCATCACCAAATTTAAAATTATGTAATGTATGTTGAAAAATTATTTAATGTTAAATAAATTTTAAACGTTAACTAATTTTATAAATGAATTTAACAAGCAATGATTTAAATAGGTCAACTAATCAATATTACAAATCGGACAATAAAATGTAGCAACAGAAGAAATGGACAGAACATAATCGCATATTAGCATTATCGAATTAGAAATTGTGCATGATTGACGTCGAAGTTAGTGAAAAAAAAACTAGCGAACAATAGAATCAAAACACATTCAACATTGGGACATAAGAACAAGCGTAAAGGACAATCTTCAAAAATCGACATGTACTCGATAATACAATTAATATATTTCGGCGTTTTTGTTAAAACAAAAGAAAATATAGATATAATGCGATATGTTTGCAATTGAGAATTGTTTGAAACAGAGTGAGATATATATATATATATAAACTGATAATATATCTTTTATCTTGTTTGACTATTTAATGAAGTGACATGAAAGCTTATAACATATATAGTATGAAAGTTATTTTGATCAGGAAATAATCCTATGTATATCGCCTCTTAACGATAGTTTGAGCATTCACTCGTTTTACAATACTATAAATATAATTCATTAGCGATACTAATCATCATTACAACTATATATGTTGATTGTAGCATTGTATGTCTTATATAATATAAATATATGAAGCAGAATGTAAATGAATACCAAGAAGATAACACGAGTTGTGTTTTTGTTGATTCCATTGTACGTTTCTATCGAGTTGAATAAGAGAGAAAACAAATAGAGAGAAAAAAAGAGAAAACGTAGAGAAAACTGATTTGGTCGAAGAGAAAAGCCGAATAAAATCTAAACTTTTTCTCTTTCTTTCTATTTCTACTTCCATGTTTCTCTACAGTTTCTATCCATCTTTCTTTCTTTCTCCATTTCATCGAATTAGTAAAGAATTGAATGATTAATCAGGACCATTATATATATATATATATATATATATATATATATATATATATATATATATATATTTGTAAATTAATTTTACGAGACATGTATTTAGCATAATAGCGAGGAAAAACCTAATTTAATCAATGTTTAACCCTTTCGCTACGGCAGTGTGCTCCGCCGGAGTGACACCGCTGAACGGAGCACTGCGCCGAAAAGTGTGCATACCGCGCTTATGTGTTCGGACTTACATCTTTCGGTGCAGCCTCGTCATTCTCTTGATCGTATGATGTTTTAATTTTTATACAACATATTTGGAGATTTTTTTTTTTATTTTTTTTTTATTTTTTTTTATTTTTTTTATTTTTTTTTTTTTGTATATAAAGTGTTATGCACTGACGTCGTCTACAGACGACACTCGTACACACAGGTCGTCACGCGGATGTCGTCCATAGACGACGCTCGTAGCGAAAGGGTTAATCTATGTCTACAATATAAATGATTTTTGAATAAAATATTCAATAAATCTTGATTTATACAAATTATACGTAATGCAGATTTATCATGTTTATTTCGGAATGAACGCATATATAAAGATTCATGTGTTTGGGAGATTGGCAACATTTATGTAGAATAGAACTATAGAAATAGTTCTTCAAGAAAAGTGGAAGTTTACACTTTCAGTGCATGATCATGATTTTTAATACTGAATTCATGAAATTTTTTGGAATTGTATATTACGAAATCTTATATTACAACATATATGTATACCAGTATATACCAGTATATAGCAGTGTATACCAATATATAAGAGTAATATTTGATAAGAATTATCTTATTAGTCTTTCAGAATTAATCATTACATATATGCCAATTTAGCGATCGAACAGACTTAACAATTCTATTTTAACGGTGAACGGATCAATTTCCGAGCAACTAAAGTAAGTGTAAAACACGAAAGTGGTTTTTAATTATTTTGTTTCATTCTATTGTTATATACAATTATAAAAAATTTACATTTAACTAAGTAAATATATATAAGCAATGAATGTTTTCTCAAGTTTGCATACAATAGTACATTCGAATGAATTTATTCAGTTAATTTTAATTTTCCCACAGATAATGTTCCTTACAATTGCATTCTGTTCAATTTTCATTTTATTTCTACTGCATTGTTTTATAAGATATGGAAGAGTGGGAAGAATTCTTCGTAATATTCCGGGACCAAATGCATATCCTATAATAGGAAGTATACATCATTTTTTCATTGGCAATGGTAAGCTTTTTCGAAAGTAAAATTCTTTCAATTCGGTGCATTTCTTCCTTAATTTAAAATTTATTATTTTATTTTAGAAAATACCCTTGCAAAACTATGGGCAACAAATGCAAAATTTTATCCAATTTACAAAATTTGGTTCTTCTGGTACTGGACAGTAACTCTACTTCATCCGGATGATATTGAGGTAAATGATTTGGGGGCAAAAAAAGAAAACGCTTCATATGTTTCTCATTTCCTCTCTTTCTTTCTCTCTCTCCCTATCTCTTTCCCATTCTCTCTCTTTCTCATTCTCTCTCTCTCTCCTCTCTCTCTCTCTCTCTCCTCTCTCTCTCTATCATTACCTCTATCTATTTTCCACTCATTCCGAATATTCACTATCAATATATTCTTATGAAACAGAAGAAATATAACATAAATTGACCGCAGGTACTTATGAAAAGCACTAAACATATTGAAAAAGGAATAGCTTACCATTTCTTGAGACCTTGGCTATCTAACGGATTGCTAACCAGTGGAGGTAATAGTTTGAATGAATCAAAATTTATTTAACGTGCTGAATAATACTTAACGTTTTAAGTTTCATTGGATAGGTGAGAAATGGCAAACACGTCGAAAGATATTGACACCAGCCTTTCATTTTAATATCCTGAAACATTTCGTTGTCACTTTAAATAATGAAGCACGGTATCTTATAACATCTTTAAAAGAGGAAGAAAAAGGAGGTTCAGTAGTGAAAGATTTACAAGAATTTATCAGTCAACATACACTTAACATAATATGTGGTTTGTAATGTATCTCTTTTTAATCATTGATATTTAACAAAGAAAAATTATTGTCAAATGCTCACTTGCAGAAGCAGCCCTTGGTACCTCTCTGAAGGAGAGGGGCGACTTAGAGTCTAATTATCGTGATGCGGTTCGTAGTTTCGGCAATATCATAGCTTCTAGGTGACTATTAATTCTTTTAACAGGAATAAATTCGATTGGCTGCTAGAAGGAAATATATCTAAAAAAGAATTATCATTTACTAGATTTGTGAAACCTTGGGCCTATTTCGACATTATATTTGAAATCTCTTCACTTGGTCGATTACAAAAGAAACTATTGAAAACCTTACACAGTTTTTCGAAAAAAGTATGTTAATTTCTTGAACGAATAAATCATTTTATTATTATTTAAACTAAACCATTTAGATTTTTGAAATTGTCATTTTTTTGTTAGATAATTTCCGAAAGGATAGAATTCCACGAAGAAACTAATGGAAAATATTTACATAATTATGAAGAAATGGATGAGAATGAAATCTCTTGTGAAGAACGCGTGGATAATAATAAAAGTATTTCATCCACATTCTTTACTAATAAAAAATTATAATCACGATAAAATTATTATTCGAATTTTTCCGACACAGATCCGATGTTCAAAAAGAATCTTGCTCTGCTTGATCTGCTTATATCCGCTTGTGTGAAAGGAAATATAATCGATGTGGAAGGCATCCAAGAAGAAGTCGACACTTTCATGTTTGAGGTAAGTGCCAGTATATTAATATATTTAGATTAATTAGTGAAACTGAGGAAATAATCTTCGTAGGGTCACGACACTACTGCAGTGGCGTTGTGTTTTGCATTGAGTCTTTTTGCAAAACACAAAGATGTCCAGGTAATGTTTTCATCACTAAAAATGAATTCAACATTTATCGATGAATATGCATTTGATATCTACCATGAATAATTAATCATTTGTTCATGAATAGAAACGTATAAGAGACGAAGTTAATACGGTTATGCAAGAAAACTATAATTTGACGATTCCGATGCTTCAAGAATTTTCGTATTTGGAAAGATGTTTGAAAGAATCACTTCGTTTATATCCAAGCGTTCATCTTATATTTCGTCATTTGACGCAGGATATGCAACTAAGTATATAATATATTTATATATCAGATTCACCTTCGTTTTATCATTCAAATCAAACAAATAAAAATAATAATTTTCAGAAAATTATTTAATCCCGGCTGGCTCGACGTGTAACATAAACATCTATAGCATCCACAGAAATCCACAATATTGGCCTAATCCCGAAGTTTTTGATCCCGATAGATTCTTGCCAGAAAATTTGAAAGGCCGTAATCCTTATTCCTATATCCCATTTAGTGCTGGACCAAGAAACTGTATCGGTAAGTAATGCAAAAAGATAAAAAAAAATGGAATATAAATAATTGAGTTATCTCTACTTTTGCAGGTCAAAGATTTGCAATGCTCGAGCTAAAAGTAATAGTAGCTTATATATTGCATAACTTTCATTTGGAACCAGTGAGTAATCTTGAGGACGTAAAAATGTTGGAAGATATTACGCTGCATTCGACCAAGCCCCTTCAAGTAAAATTTATACCAATAAAATAGGATCTTTCTAGAATTCATTTTCTTCAAAATGTACTCAGTGCATTTCTTGGTAATTTGTCGATAATGTCTGTCGAAGAGATAGATAGTTATAAGCAACGTTGTACTTGATGAACAGCTTAAAAATCCGTTGTGGTTCGAACACCAACAAACAACAAGTATTACATAGTCTTTGTTTTATTGCAAATATTTGTAATTAATTATAAATAAATTGAATGTTTCAAAAATTGCAGCGCCAACGAATCCATATATTAATATTATAAATAATACATATTTATAATATTAAGAAATAAATTTTTATTATTTTATATAGAATTTTTCATCCAATTAAATCCATCTTGCTTGCAGGATAGTTTTCTTTATTAATTTTTAATATTTGTTTATCAATACTTGTTTTAATCAAATAATAATTAATATAAATTATAATATATATTATGAATAATATTTTAATATACATTATATAATATATTAATATTCGACGCAAACAACAAATAAATATAGTAAACTATATTAAAAGAGAAAGAGAGTGAGAAAGAGGGTGGAGGAGAGAGAAAATTTATTATTGATAAAATAGAACTTCAATGAACGTAGTTGTCCTACTCTTTTTATTCTCGTTCTAAAAGAATTAAATAATCGATCGGACCAGTTTTTATGATAGAAATGTATTAAAAAATAGAAGAAACAGTAATGTAAACTTCACATTAAATAGAAAATTGTTCTTGAAGTGTGAAATATGTTAAGCGACGTAAAATCAAAAATCAAATTGAGTTAACATTAATAGAATCGAATGACAACGATTCGAAAATATTTACCTATATGATCATATAGGTAAATATGTGAGTCCTAAAAAAATACAGTTATGCGAATAAATATTAATGGAAGAAGAGTAGAAAAAAGAAACTGGGTGATGGAAACTATAATTTCATCACTGGAAATGTTTCTATCGCAATATGTCCTTAATTTAGCGTGTAAATGTAACAGTTTTACGAGGATATCATATCTATATAAGTCACTCGACTTATCATAATAGCCATTAATTAACGATTCAAAAATATCTTTCTCTGAATCTTTCTATCTCTTTCACTCACTCACTCTATCTTACTCTCTTTCACTGTTTCTTTAGATTAAAAAGAATTGAATATTTAATTAATAAAATCTTACACATACCTACTTGTTATTTTTATATATTCTTTATAAATAAAATCATCGATATATTCGTTTTGAACATCAATTAGAATAGATATCCCCAAATCTGATCGATGTATGGCCCAATTTTATTCCGCACCTCTTCGTCCGATGCATAGGTTGTACCCTTAGTAAGTACAAATCACATCACATCACATTTTAAAGGCAAACTTCTTTCTCGCAACACAACCATTCCTTGTTATATAGCGCTCGTTCAATAACCTCATTTCTTTATTTTTGCAAGAGATAACGATATTAGATTAATTTTCAGAGACATAACAATTGAAATAAAAATGGGATACAAAAAGAAAAAGTATCATAAAAATGATGAAAATAATCTATTAAGATCACTGAAATCTATGAAAAGAGAATTGAGTGATCAAGAAGAACAACTTAAACGTCTTTTATTAAGATAAACGTCTTAATGCAAAAAGTAAATATAACCTATAGCTGTGTTGTTTTTCAGTTTACACTTTGCAGTAATTAGATCAAGTACCTCTATTAAAGAGTGAACCAGTTTTCTCTCATAAATAATTGTCAGTTACATAATTTATTGATATAAAATAATTTATTTGGTCGAGAACCAAAAAAATTGACTAGTTCTCTCTAAAAATAATACTGACAGATAAACAAAATTCATAAAAGTATTATTATTATTATTCTAAAAAAAAACAAACAAAAAACGACAATAAGATATTGTTAGAACCTTGATACATTATTAAAATTTTCTATCAATGGTAGGTAGAAAATACTCGTCAACGGAGTCATCAGAGAGTGATAAGTCCTCAGATGAAAAATTGCCCATAAAAGGACACTTTAATTTCTCATGAGCAAATATTAAAAAATTTACCCAAACCCAGTCAAAAAATAGCTAAAAAGCCAGTGGAAAAGTCAGCTGGCTTACAAAGGACAACGAACAAATAAACACCAGCAGTAGCTGCAGATCCTTAAATTAAAGATCAGCAGTTAACTACAAATGGAGCTGAAAATTCAAGTGACAAAAAAACTCCGGAGAAAACAGATGAAGAAACGGTGCCAAATAAATCAGAAGCAATTGGAAAGCAGTTGGATGGTGACAAGGAAAGAACATCAGCGGTTCATAGTGACATGCTTACGTTGGAAAGACGTTCTTAAAGAAGGACATCCAATAGAGGAACGCGAATGATTTTTTAGAAAGTATCCAACTCCTGAAAAATGTTTAACGTTAGAACTTCAGTATATGAATGCTCAAATAAAATCGTCACTTTTAGAGCCAATCATAAATAAAGATAAAAGGCTTGTAAAAAAACAGCAAAATGTCCGTTCTTGCTTATTTGCCTTGGAACACTTAATTGCATAATTTTTTTAAAAGGGAATATTTATTTCCGAGTTATTGTCTGGAAATATTTACAGATGCGTCACTAATGAGATGTAAAGCCCATTGTGATGGGCAAACCACAAATGGTTTTTGGAGTAAAGTCGATAAGGAGTCTCCAATTAATCATCTTTAATTCTTTAGAGCTTTCTTTAAATTAAAATGTTTTGCAAATAATAGACGAAACTGTGATATTCTCTTACGGATTGATAATACAACACCGATTGTCTGTATTAATCGTATGGGAGATTCTCAATTTAAAAGACTAAGCAATAGGGCAAAAGTAATCTGGAAATGATGTGGGGAAAGAAATATCTGGATATTATCCTCGTATGTTCAATTTAGAGAAAATAAGATTGCAGATCTTGTATCTAGGAGACTAAAGTCAGAGACAAAATACGAGTTAAGTAAGGAAGCATTTAATAAAATCTGTAATAAATTTGCTAACCCGGAAGTAGACTTGTTCGAATAAACACATAGTGCAATAAATATATTTCATGGAAGAAAAATCCGGATGCGATGACAGCTGTCGCATTCACTGTCAATTGGAGCTTATGGTTTTTGCTTTTTGTTTTCATCTCAAGAATCTTGAGGAAAATCTTAAGTGTGAATGATAAAGGGATATTCTTAACACAAGTTGGCCTTCTCAAACTTGATACCCTCGTTACATAAATATGTTTGAATCAGAACTATCTTTAAACTTAATAAACAATTGTTATACTCTTCCGACGAGGGGGGGCTGTCCCTCTTTGGTGGACAGTTTTTTATGATGGCAGGAATCTTATCCAACAAGCGTACACAATAAGAGAAGTGCCATCAGAAGCATTAAAAGTAGCAAGGCATTGTTAAGCGATTCATCAATAGATCAGTATGAAGGAACATTCAAGAGGTGCTGGAAATTTTGTCGTTTAATGCAGACAGATCCATTTAAAGTAGAAATTTCAAAAATACCAAGATTTTTATCTAATGTACGGATCCATCACTCGTTTAGTTCAATTGTGACCCTGCTTTTGGGACCCGATATTAGTTAAAATGCCAGTATCAAAAGGTTTTGTAAAGACTCCTCCAAACTAAGGTGGGTACAACCGAAATACAACGTAACGTGGGGTCTAGAAACAGTATTGAATTGTGTAAATAAATAAGAAATTATCATTTGTGAAATTATCATTAAAGACTACCTGGCATTAACAATGGGCCACAGAATTCAGGCTGTTTTCAATTGATATTAGGGATATAAACAAGCTAGAGAATCAGCTAGAAATAATGATTTCGACTCAACAAAACACGTCCAAACGCAATGAAAAACAATCGTCCTTATTACTACCGATTTTCAAAAATCTGCTTATATGCATATTTCATGTCATAGAATAATATTTGACTTGTACAAAAGCACTAAAAGGAGAGGAAAATAAATTATTCATATCTTGGAAAAACAGCATAAAGCAGTGATTTCTCAGATGTTAAGCTGATAGATAAAATCGATGTTAAAGGACAACAGAATAGATATAAACCTATTTATAGCTTACAGTTCGCAACATGCATCAATGTCAACCACGGAATTAACATCGATCTTATTGGAAGCACAGCGGGCTGGAGTGCGAATTCAAAGACTTTTACGAAATTCTATGACAGAAATATTACACAGGATATGAAGCTATTTGGTAGTGCCGTTTTAAGTAAAAAATAAATAATTTGCTTGGTTTAAGAAAAAAAAAAGGTATATATATATCTATGTAAATTATCATAGAAATAGAGGGAGAAAAGTATTTTTCCCAATACATCTGTAATTCAATAGGAAACTGTGCCATATATACTATAAACATCTACCTAATGGTCGGGGAAGATGCACGAAATACAATTTAACGATTCAGCGAACTTACATGAAGTTCTATCGTAATTGTATAAAGCGCTTCCTCCGAAAGATCAGATTCCCTTATTATCTTGAAAGTATAATTCCAGAAGAATATAAGCACTTTAAAATCAATGAGATTATCGATCGAATCCCATACAACATGAAATAGTAACGTGACAAGAAAAAAAATTGTCTTTAAATATGTGGTGACATTTGCATAAAGTAGAGGTACTTCCTAGTGATCTTATCATACAATTCCATTCAATTTCGATCCATTCTTTTCTCCTGTTTTTGTTACACATTGGATTAATTTATGTTCTTTTTACTAATGACTTAAAGAAAACACATCTTGTAGAAAGCTATTTAAGGAATAGTAAGAAATAGTGAAAGATAGAGAGAGAGAGAGAGAGAGAGAGAGAGAGAGAGAGAGAGAGAGAGAGAGAGAGAGGGAGGGAGAGAGAGAGAGAGAGAGAGAGAGAGAGAATAGGAGGAATAGAGTCATTTATTTCTAATAAATTTTAAATGGTAATGCAAGTACTATATTTTGGCGTTTTAGTTAAAGTTAAAAAATGTAGAATGAATGCGATGAAGTTGAGAAATATTCGAATGAGAATACGAGAAAATTGGAAAGATGGAAGAAATGTATATGAGTCTTGCTGCGGAGACTTTCTGAACACATATGTAGAAATCAATTGAAGAAACTAAGAATAACACGTATAGATAACGATTTCGACGAGCGGCTTTACGCAAATGAGTGAGATTAGGTATCTTTATTAAGAAATTTATATGTCATGGAGTATAGGATACTTACATTGATAATTACTAATTCATATATCATAGTTTTAGGTAGTTCTAGCATGTGTACATTCTCGAAACATATTATCAATATCGCTTATTAACGATATCATTCGTACTTATAAATGTATGTTTTACATTTCACGTAATATAAAAAAGCAATCGAATAAAAACGAGAACGATTGGAAGAAGATATAGAATTAACTTGATTGCTTTTGTGTTATTGAATCTAGTAATAGAAAATAGAAGCAGAAAATTGAGATCGAGAAAAAGTTGAAAAAACTGACTGTGCTAAGAAAAAATGCCGAACAGAAGCTTAAGCATTTCTGTTTTTCTACATTTATATCTACGTTTTCACATTTGCTATCTACCCTTTCTTCTATTTTCGTATCATTGAATTGCTGTAGAATTAAATTTTTAAAAAAAGGCCATATCTTATATTTATATTATGTATATTTTAAAATAGTTCTGCGACTTTAATATTATTGACAATAAAATTCTAATCTATTCGACCTTCGATTTATCACAGCATTCTAATTTATTGTTGAATATTACTTATTACTTATATCACAAAATTCTTTGTGTTATATCTTTGTGTTATGTCTTATTGTTGAACATTACTTTTATCACAAAATTCTTAATATATGATATATACTCGAAATTTAAATTTATCATATCTATTTCGTTATCAGTATTTATAATGATTTATCTACCAGCGAAATTAGCAAATATATTATCCAAATTATGTAGTATAGTGATATAAATACTGTAATTTAAGTAGAGTGAAAGTTTCTGTGCTTAGAGTATATGATTGAGTTTAATGATAGAATTGATAAGTTTTTGTTTAATTGTATTTTACAAATGCTTGTAATTTAATACATATTTGTCCAAGTATATAAGAGTAATATTCGAAAAGAATTATTTATTCGTCTTGTAGATTTAACCGGAACATGTGAGAACATACGATTGTGAGATATAACGAGACTTAAACATTGTTGAACGTTTCTTTTTCTGAGAGATCACGGTAAGTGTGCTGAAACGTGTTTGTTGTTTTTAATTATTTCATTTGATTGTTATATACTATTTCAATGAATCGTTTATATTGCCTACATGTACGAATGTGTTAACTAATAAATCAAACGAATAAAATAAAATGATTTGATTCATACATTTTAAAACTTTTCTTTGATTGTAATAATTACATTGACCATTAATAAACATGTAAGATATTTTAAATAATAGTATTAAAATGTATGGATTAATTAGAAAAATTTTATTCATATAACTATACGATCGTTTTAAAATTGTAGTAACATAACTGTGTCCTATTTTTATTAAAGTAGAATGTTCGTCACTACCGTTGAAATACGATATACTTTGTAATTGTGTTTCTAAACTTGCAATATTTTCATTTTTACATTTGACTGTTAAATTTGTGACAGATGAGAGAAAATTAATTATATTTTCATAACTTCTAGTGAAAAATAAAACGAAAATATAGCATTATGGGAATATTAAGGTATCGCACTTCTTTGCATATCTCAGCAATACAATAATTATATTTGTTGAGTGCTTGTTACATTTAACTAAGTAAATATATATAAGCAATGAATGTTTTCTCAAATTTGCATGTAATAGTACATTCGAATGAGTTTATTCAGTTAATTTTAATTTTCCTACAGATAATGTTCCTTACAATTGCATTCTGTTCAATTTTCATTTTATTTCTACTACATTGCTTTATAAGATATGGAAGAGTGGGAAGAATTCTTCATAATATTCCGGGACCAAATGCATATCCTATAATAGGAAATGTACATCATTTTTTCATTGACAATGGTAAGCTTTTTCGAAAGTAAAATTCTTTCAATTCGGTGCATTTCTTCCTTAATTTAAAATTTATTATTTTATTTTAGAAAATAATCTTGCAAAACTTTGGGCAGCAAATGCTAAATTTTATCCAATTTACAAATTATGGACCTTCAGGTACTGGGCAGTAACTTTGCTTCATCCGGATGATATTGAGGTAAATAATCTGGTGGCAAAAAAAGAAAAGGTTTTACATTTTTCTCATTTCCTCTCTCTCTTTTTCTCTCTCCGTCTCTCTTTCCCAATCTCTCATTCCCTTACTCTTTCTCATTCTCCCTCTCCCCCTTTCTTTCCTATTCTTTCTCTCTCTCACTCTCTATCATTATCTCTCTCTATTTCCCACTCATTCCGAATGTTCACTATCAATATATTCTTATGTAACGGAGGAAATATAATATAAATTGACCGTAGATACTTATGAGAAGCACTAAACATATTGAAAAAAATCTACCATACAAGTTCTTGAAACCTTGGCTGTCTACCGGATTGCTAACCAGTGGTGGTAATAGTTTGGACAAATAGAAATTCGGTAAACGTGCTTAATGTTATTTAACGTTTTATGTTTCATTTGATAGGTGAGAAATGGCAAACACGTCGAAAGATATTGACACCAGCCTTTCACTTTAATATCCTGAAACATTTCGCTGTCACTTTAAACGATGAAGCACGGTGTCTTGTAACGTCTTTAAAAGAGGAAGAAAAAGGAGGTTTTGTAGTGAAAGATTTACAAGAATTTATCAGTCAACATACACTTAACATAATATGTGGTTTGTAATGTATCTCTTTTTAATCATTGATATTTAACAAAGAAAAATTATTGTCAAATGCTCACTTGCAGAAGCAGCCCTTGGTACCTCTCTGAAGGAGAGGGGCGACTTAGAGTCTAATTATCGTGATGCGGTTCGTAGTATCAGCAATACCGTAGCTTTTAGGTGACTATTAATTCTTTTAATAGGAATAAATTCGATTGTCTGTTAGAAGGAAATATATCTAAAAAAGAATTATCATTTATTAGATTTGTGAGACCTTGGATGTATTCCGATATTATATATGGATTTTCTTCATCTGGTCGATTAC